GGACCAATTCTGTTTACATTATACAAGAATTATATATGACTTATTTTGAATTCACACCAGCTACTCTAACATAGAATAAAAGAATAAACAATATGGATCTAGAAATAAGTATAGTAATTCAGCTTAAAACATAATTGTTTATTTACTTACTGTATAAGATTTTGAGTTTTTCAGAATGTATTTATTTTTATAGCTTTTTCTAATGTTAGCAGAAAGCGGTCGACATCATTTTCTTCATTCTGTTGTGGCCACACAATATATAAAATCCACACTCAAATGCAACTAAACAAACACTTTAAGTATGCATACTTCACTTTATGTTGTAGTAAATAAAGTGTTACTGTTTTCCTTTTTCCAGTTTTGAGCACCATTTTCATTTTCATTATGCTCTGTGCTGAGGGACCACAGTGTCCATCAACAGATAAAAAAAAAAATACAATTTGAATCTTCTGCATTTCTCATTATTTTTCCGGTGTGAACACACTGAATTCATTTCAGTAATAACAGTAATTTCCCCTGCTGAGCTGCCTGTGAATTTTCCACCACATCCCTGCAGCAGTGCTTACCGTTAGGAACTAAAGTACCACGTCACACATACACACCTGGGACAGTGCGCTAATCTTGGCCTGTGCTTCTGCATACTGCTCCTGCAGCTGCTGTTTACCCTCTTCCATGCTGCTTAATCGAAAGCTGAGCTCTTTCTCCAGGTCCTGCAGCTGAGCGCAGAGCTCCTTGGACTCAGACAGCTGCTGACACACACGTCTACACACACACCACAAACACATTTTAGACACTGGTTGCATAAGACAGAGTTGACATTAAAGATAAATGTACTGTTCAGCACAGTGCTGTCTCTGGTGCCTTATAAAGTTAACTGCATGATCAAGGTTAACTCCATGTCCTTAGGAGTGTGTGTACCTGTGTTCAGCATCCAGAGCACAGGCTCTCTGGTTGCTGTGCTCCAGGGCCAGGGTTGTGCTCTCCAGCTGTTGCCTCAGTCTCCCTGCTTCCCTCTCTCTCTGTCTGCCCTCCTTCCGTTGGCCATCCAGTTCAGACTGACACACCTCTTTCTCTTGCTCTAACCGTGAAGCCTCCAGCAGCGCCTGATCTCGTGCCCTGGCCAAAGATTCAGCCTCGAGGGTAGCCTCGCGGAGCTCTGCCTCCAGCTCCTCCTCGCGACGCCGTGAGGTCTCCAAACTGCGGCCCTGACGCTCCAACTCTGCTCTGAGAGTCTGAGTAGTGAGCTCTAACTGGTCACTCTGGCAAAAGAGAAAACACAAAGGATGATTTCGGTTCTTAACGCCCGCTTTAAATAAGTCCCCGATAATCACAGAGGAAAGTGCAACAGACAACACGAAACCATGTGGCCAATAAAACAAGCAATAAACATAAAATTAACTTTATCAGAGTGCAAAAATTAAACCACTGGCACAGTTTTGCGTTTGGGTTGTTGATTCTACTACTTTTTCCTCTTCACTTCTTTGTTTCTCTCTTTTTGTTTCTTGTTATTTTATAGTAACTTCCTGTTTAATTTTGGCAGTTGCTTTACTCTAAGAGTCAGCTGTTATCTGTATGTGCCTTCCCTGCCCTATTTAGTTTCCCCTGTGTTATTATAGTGAGTTGGTTTTCTGTGTATTTATAGTACCGTCTCTAGTTATTTGTCATGATGTCTGTTTTCCTTTCGGCATTGTTTGTTTTGGGCCAGGCCCCAGTGCACCTCACAAGTCCTCAAGTCAACCCGGGCTGGACCTTGTTTAAGTTTTGTGCCTTTTAATTGCACCTTGGGCACTTTATCTGCTCATACTCTGAGATATTTGGTACCTGGTGGATTTCTGTAGCTCCCACAGCTTTCATTAGTCCCGCCTCCTGCTGTGTGCCCTGCTTTTAGGTCCTTGCATTTGATTGGATCAAAACAGCAATAATACATTTTAAAAATACAGCTCAAAAATAAGTAATTCAAAAGTTTTCAGACTATTAAAAACAATAAAAACATTAATTTACCTTGAAACCAAACTGCAGATTGGACTCTGTATAAATAACAGGAACTGTTTGCTTATCTGTTACATGGCAGTGGTTAGATATTTCTACTGTATAAGCAATACTGTGGTCTATAATTATTTTCCTGAATGTTAAAATGCTCACCTTTAAATCCTGTTAGGGAAATTCACCTAATTTATTAAATCCTGTACTTTAGTGAAGAGGATGTATAAAGAGGGACGAAATAGAAAGTACAAGGATGTCAAGAGTACTTTAAAGCACTTGAGTAAATGTACATTTTTTTGCCGCCTACGAGAGAATAACCATACTTCACATTACTGCACCCCTCCACATCATCAAACGTGGATGTAAACAATGCAATTCAGAAACACTTTCAAAGCCCTATAGAAAAAACATATTGAGTAGATTTTTTTTAATTTCCAAGACACAAAACAGCATCCTCCAGATTGTGGACTAAATCTCATTACTTAGCAGAAAATCTGATCAATTTTTCCAGGATATATGAGGGTTTTTTAAAAAAATAAATAAAAATGCTTTAAAACAAACCAGTTCAGTAAACGTACACCACGACAGGGAAGCAAAAGGGAGAACGAGGATGAGACGTGAGTTCCTATTTTGGTTTTACTCACACCTACAGCTGAAAGAAGTACACTTCATGATTCATTTAACATGCACTGTTTTATTCTCATGAATTCTGGCTCTTCTCCTGCTGGTGGTCGGAATGTGAAGTCTACCTCGAATGTAGCTGGAATCCATTCTGTGTCATGGGCTAAAACATCAAATATTGAAATGAACAAATTTTTAGTTGCTGCTGACGTCTGGCTGGCTTACAACTTAAGTTATTTTATTCATAAACCAAAGTGACAGCAGAGTACTTTCTCAGCTCTAACATTATGAGAGTGTGCTGTTAGATTTAGTGTTTAAAAATCAAAGGAATGAGCCACTGTTTTTTAAAGATGCATCTCTGGTTTAATGCAATGTCGTGAGAAGTGTGGCAGATCGGTAGGAACAGCCTATCCAGAGTTGCACTACTTTTTCATGCAAGCAACTAAATGTACACAAAACAGGTTTTTGGGATGCGTCATAGCAGAAAACACTTGTTCTAACGTGCTGTTTCTTTACAATAGGTTGTCAATTATATGTTGTGTACAGTTAAAGAACATCCAGTCTTGGCTAAGAAAATTGTAGTTTATTAGCCAGAGTAATTTTAGTAGACCTTTAGGCCAAACAGCCACAAAAAGACTGACGTTTTCACTTCCAAAAAACTGGGAGGGTGTCACCAAAGAATATTACCCCATCAGATGGAGGGTTATATACAGCGTTTTCTGAGTGGGAGGTATTTATGAATCCCTTTTAAGGTATTTCTTTAATGCTGACTTAGCAGTGCTCTTTTCCTTAGTTTGCAGTTTTTCTTATGTGTTGAAATTTTTACTGCAAATTGCACATTAAATTGCACCGTATTCACAAAGACTTCAATGACCCAAAGTGGGCTGTCTGAAGAAGGTGGCTCTCAGTTGGGTTTCTGCTTGAATCTCCATCTGCAGAAATGCACTGAATAAGCCGAATCAAAACGTTCACCTGCTTCCCTCCTCTGTGTGCAGATGAGATTTTTGTCAATATGGGAATACTGCAGTTCAAATCTGATTTGCTCGCTCGATATAAGGTGGATAAAAATGTTAACATGCATCTCCGACAGCTTAATAAAACTGTTCCACTTCATGTTGTCAAGCCTGAGTCGTGCAGTAAGGGAATTTGCTTGCTGAAATACTGAAATTTATTGGTTAAATGGAATCCAGATGGGATGTTTTTATTTAAGCAGATCACAGAGGTTGACTGTAAGAAAATTTTGAACTCTTCTGTTTTTTATCTGCCCTTCTTCTTCTATTTCCCTCTTAAGTCCAGTGTCATCTGCCATGTTCATGGACATATTTGGCGTCTTTATATTGTGTGTGCAAATCTGTGGCTGTGTACTCTCCAACCTTGCGTTGGGCGGAGCGCAAGGCGTCCAAGGAGCTGCGTAGCGTGTCTCTTTCTCTCTCGAGTGTAGCCCGCTCTCCCTCCAGGGTGGCGATGATTGTGGTTTGCAGCCTGTGAAGCTCTGCTTGGCTTCGTAAGCGACACAACTCCTCCTCCATAACTAGTCCCTCAGACTGAAGAACCTGAGAGAAAAGCAGTTAGAAACATCTGAAATCTCGATGTATAGCATGTGCATTTACTATTACTACAAAACATTCTTATATTTTTCCAGTAATTGAATGAGTCTTGTATATATATATGATTTCTAGGAAAGAACTACAAACCTACAGCTTTAAAGGAAGTGTTGAGTAAATACATTTCCTAATAATTCCAGTTAACTGGCAAACAACACAAAGGGTCTGTTGTTGGTGCACTGCAGGTTTGATGAGTGTGCAAAAGCACAAACAATCCCAGATACTCTTGCAGCTTTGCGAGGCTTTACTCTGGCACACTGCTGCCCTGAGCGAAATGCAAAAATGCTCACAAAAGCATCCTGGTGAGCTTCAAGTTCCACCATGTTTGCAAATATTTTCCATCATGCATTTAATGTAAAGTACAGCTAAGTACAAAAATCACCTTTTTGTATGATAATAATGACAGTGTAGATCAGAAACTTAAAAATTAAAATTTTCATCTGGAAGATAAAGGTAACTTTTGGCATTGTATTTGGGATCGCAGGAAGATTGGCTCCTTTTGGGTTGCAGTAACACAAACTATGAAACAAATATTATCCAAAGAAGTTGTTTTGGATCCTGGCTTCCTTATTCTGGGATTGTACCCAGAAAACATGAGGTACACAAAAAGTGACAGAATGTTTATTGGTATGGGTTTGTTACAAGCAAAAAGATTAATTGCACTAAAATGGAAAAAACAAGGGAACCGAGTATCACACAGTGGATAAAACAAATGATGGTGGCTTTGCCATTGGAGCGGATAACATGTATACTGAAAAGGAAACTGGATGTTTTTGAGAAGCTGTGGAGACCATTTGTGAATTTTGTAGAAGGATTTGTATTATCTGAGGAGGACGAGGACTGAGGGCAATGACATTTGATTTGGGATAATGACAAATTTAGGCCTTTAATGGAGTGATAAATCTGATGACTTTTTTGTTTTCTTTTTGCTGTTTGAGAGGAGTGTATGTTCATGTACTATTTAGAATGTTGGACTGTTTGCAAGTCTTTAAAATGTAAAAAATAATAAAGATATTGTTGAAAAAAAAAAAAATTTCATCTGGCTGAACAAATTTTTATGACAATCAATATAAAAGCTGTTTTTGTGCCACGCCACTGTTATTGCTGAAACAATTCTGATGTGTGAACTTTAAATCTTTGTTTCTGTTATTACTTTAATTGTAATGTATATAACCAGAGACAATATTATGAAAAAAACCCCGGAAAAACCGGAAAACTTGATACCAATTTTGTAGTAGAATGACTCCATGCAGCTCATACTTATAACCAAAAATAACCCAATAACTTAAGAGTGAGCTTTAAAAATCGCTTTCACAGTCATTGGTTTGTGCAGCCATATGCCACTTTCAGCGCTCCGCTGCAGTCTGGATTGTTATGTTTTGACCACTTGCAGTGAGACATCTGCAACTTCACCAAGAGCATCAAACTGACTCAGCGTTGCATGACGAGGATCTTCACTGGCGATAAGAAACTGGTCTCCGGCTACAACCCAGAGACCAAAGAGCATGGTTCAGTGGAAAAGTTCATTTTAATTAACACTTACAGTCCTGCGCTCTATACAGTTGTCCATCATCAAGGTCAGACTGTTAGTGCAGAGTTGCACTGTAACTGTAAGCGTGAACTTTCCCTGACTGTGACACGTTTAAAAGTGACATCTTTCACAGTACATTGAAAACCCAGACTTTTTTTTCCATATTTACCATTGTTTGTGCCCAATACATTTGTCACTTACCACTCTCCCTTAGAAAATATGTTCTCTTTCTCAAGATGAAAGCTAAGATCCATCATGAGTCACAGATGTATTACTGCAAGTGGTCAGAGAGGGATTTACCAAGGAGCGATCTAAACATGTGCTTAGCCCTGAAAGCAGTTTATAGCTGCACAAGGAGTCGATCATTAAGTGGCTGGCAGTCAATTTTAAATCAGTTTCAGCTTTTGCTTTTTAGGGGTGTTGTAGCGGGAACATTTGATGGCGCATTGCACACAAGAAACACATTATAAACACAATTATACAATAATATAACGCCCACGTTTTCACTTGCTTCACCGAACATTAATGTCTCCAACTTAACCACTACAGCCAGCCATACCTCTATCTGCCTGCGGGCCTCCACCAAACTTTCTCCGGCTTTCTTCAGACGCTGCAGCTCAGCCTCGACGAGAACCAGCCGCTGCTCAGCCTCCCAGGTTTTCTTGCTCTGCTCTCCCAGCTTAGAGCGCAAGTCCTGGGCCACGCTAGTCTGTCTTTCGGCCTCCTCCTGGGCCTCCTGGAGTCGTTTCATCAGAAGCTCCATATCAGGACTAGTCAGGGAACATACGGCCAGGTGTGTAGCTATAGTCTCTACTTTATCTTCAACTGATTGTTTCTGTATCTCTGAACTTATTGGTAATTCAATCTTTTCTTTCTTCGGCTCACTTTCTTTTTCCTGTTTCTCCCTTTCTTTCTGCCCTCCCTCAGCCTCTCCTCTTCTATTGGTCTGGATCACCTCATTGCATGGTTCATCTTTTCCCATCTGAACATGAAGAATCTCTTCACCAACTCCTGCTTCACGGTGTGTCCCGATGACTTCTCCTCTTTTCTCCTTCTCCTCCATCATCTTAACCCTTCCTTCCCCCTCTCCCCTGCAGGATTCAGATCCCTGGATTCCTCTCACCACCTTTTTTCTCTCCCCCTCCTCCTCCACTCTGTCTGGCATCTTCATTCCTTCCTCCTTCCTCTTGTCTTCTAGTTGTTGAAGTTTGGTCACAAGCTTTTCCAGACGCTGTTTCAAAGTGGCATTTTCATTCTTCAAGTTTTGAAACTGAAAAGCATAATTGGAGAGAAATTTAAAGACATTTCAAAGCTTTGAATATCCCTTTTTTGTCCCTGTTTCCTTTCATGTGCTGACAGTGATTGAACTTGAATGCATCGTGGGTAAGAAAACTGAAATCACCCCCTTTTCCTCAGAATACATCCAGTTTCAATACAAAAGAAAAGACAATGAAGCAGGGAAAAAAGAGAGAAGGACAGACAGGGAAATTACTGATCGATTTAAATGATCTTTGGTTATAACAACACAATATAAAAGCACTCCTCCACACAAATAACTACAGAAAACTCAGTATGCCTGAGATCCGTCACACAGCACCATTCGCAAATTCTAGTATAATGTTGTGAACTGAGTAACATTTAATTACCATATTTCATCTGAGGGAATGTAAAGCACAGCCTTCACGTGTCTTTTACGTGTCATACTCAGATTGGTTGTTTTAATCGTAACATATTTACTATTTATTACTTAAAATAATAGTTTTTTTAAGTGTTAAAATAATGTCAAATCACACTGTCCACAATAATACAATAATACATTATAAAAAAGTTTTATCTTGTGACATCAGTGACAAATCAAGGTGTTTATGGGACACACACAACACAAACCCAGAGAAGCCTGTGAACAATAAAATACAATTCAAATTCAATTCTGTTTGATTTATGTGGTGCCAAATCACAGCAACAGTCGCCTCAAATTGCCCTATATTGTAAAGTAAAGAACTTACAATAATACAAAAAGAGAAAAAAACCCAAAATTATATGACTCTATGAGCAGCGGCAGTGGGAAGGAAAAACTCCCTTTTAACAGGAAGAACCCTCCAGCACAACCAGGCTCAGGGAGGGGCGGCCGTATGGCGCGACCGACTGGTAGGTGAGGGGAGGAAGACAGGACAAAGACATGCTGTGGAAGAGAGCCAGAGATTAATAATAACTAATAAGGAGTGTGTCAGCCTCCGGTGATCATTTAATCAGAATT